ATCTTGCAAATATAACTCCATATGCCCTTTGCAAATGCTAGCCTTGCCATTTCAACATTCATACCAGAATCTTCTTGGTACACCATTTTGATCTCACAGGCATTCCTACCAGAAACTGCAAACAAGAGCTAACATTATATAATCCTGATTAAAACAAAACTATTCTGGCAAAGTGATAGCTAGAATTTATAAGCTTCCTTATAATATTAACTGCCAGAATAGCCCTCGAATATCAGTCAAGTTTTGAGATCTTCATATTTTTAGCCATAAAGAATAGAGAAGAGAAATGGAAGAGAATAGAGAAAAGAAAGGGAAGGGGGATGGGGGAAGGAAGGAGGAAAAAGAAAACCCATCAAAAACAAGATTACTTCAGTTTTGTCTTTTTACCGCTTTCTACTATGGAAAATTGCAATTTCATTTTTTTTTACACGGTATTAGAAAGAAGAAACAAGTCTTTAATAGCTTATGCAGTGAAAAATAAATCCAAAACCTGCCTTTCTTGATTCTCCAACCAGATCTGAACAGTGCAACCCGTACATACTTCTTCTGTCTTGGGATTAAAGGATGTTCACACTCCTAATCATCACCATATGCAAAATTTATTAGACATAGCCACCAAACAGTAATAAAAACTGGCAGAAGGGCAGAAAAGTAATGATAATTTACAGATAATGTTTTGGCAACATGGTCAAATGAATCATGCAACTAACTCTCCAGGTGTCATGCGGGGGAACTTTTGGTATCTAGCAGGGACAAGTAATTTGTTCAGAATTCAGATACCTTGCTAAAACAGTATATCGATCCATCATTGCCTTCCCACAATTTCCAAGCTAATACATACTCTCTAGGAGTCATGAGGGGGAACTTTTTTATCATCCAGCCAATTTCAGTTCCACTACCTGTGTCCACTTGTATTTGTCCATGCCTGGCTAGGGTTTTATCCCATGTTTGCCGGAAATCATAATCCATGTAGAAATCTCTCAGCAATTCAATGGAGCAATTTTCCAATACTGTAACACTTAAATACTTATGAGGCCCATCCTGCCAAAAGAAAGAGACTGTTTAACCAGGAATCCAGCACAAAAAAAAAAGCATATATGTGCCAGAACCATAATGACCGGTGATAAAAGTAGCAGATTGAGGAGGTTAAGACATAAAAACGTGCAAACTGCTTTCAGACACATTAAATCCCATCTTAACAAATTAACTTTTCCACTTATATTGATCAGCAAAATATGGCCTATGATATGAAAATTTTGCCATCTATCTCAAATTTAGTGGTTTTTTCTTAATGTTGTTCAGATTGCCCTGTCTAAATGTCTTAGTTCATACGAAACAGAATGTCAATAGCATTATCTCTCACTACATAAATTGGACGTGCAGCTAGGAGCACTAAAGAAAAGAGGCACAAAGTGTCTCATATATCCCAGAGCTTAGTTATAATGGTGAACATTCGACAAAAAATGCTATTCCAAAAGCAAAACATAAGTGATTCTGTAAGAAACCCCTAAAGTTTCACCCCACTTCAGAAATAGCTAAATCAGCTGTGTTCCTAACAACTTTCTATAAGAAGAAAACAAGATAACTAAGCTAGCCCTATCCAGAAACTTCCTAGTATGCATCTCATACAATTAAACCCAGTGAAGGAAGAGTGGGAATAAACACCTTTGGCTTACAACACTTTGCACTGTAGGAAAAAAGATCATCTCCTCGGTCAATGACATGTTCCCACTTCTCATTACAGTGGAGCTTCTCATCCAAGTTTTCTATCAAATCCTTCAGGTCCAAATCAGATATAATTGTAGAAACCCTGCAGGGGTTTCAAGTGAGACGAAATCCTCACAATAATGCACAGTAAACAAAATGAACTACTATGGACTTTACTTAACATTCAGTCATCTTAGTTCATCCAAATTCGTGCAAAAAAAGTAAATAGCCTAACACAATTAATCAATTTTTTCCTTAAAATGGTTGAGAACTGGCGGCCTCCAAGTGCAATCAGGCTCGTACAATCATTAAACAAACACGAAAGGAATACTACGATTTCCTATAAACAGGATAAAGGGTTCAAATATTTACGAAAGGAAGCTTACGAAGTACTAAAAGAGCAATACCTAGGTTGGGGGAGAAGGGGTGAAGAAATGTGTGCATCAGGATCGCAGTTAGTGCCGGAACATGGAGGTGCAACATCTCCTTTACCGGCGGATTTGCATAAAAAGGAAGAAGAAGAAAACCACGATAATCGGAGACGGGAAGAGCGAATTCTGTTGAGCAAGTGGCAAGTTAGTATGATGAGCACGACCCCCATAGTATAGGTATATGAACAGCCGCTCAGAATCCATCCCCTTGCTCCTCCTCCATCAACCCTTTCTTCCCAGAACTTTCCCGGCGACGAAACCAGCAATCCAATTCCCGATTCCGACGGCCACATCCCGCCCCAATATTTCATTTCTCCGATGATGATAAAATGATCGCTACACTGATTTACCTTACTTCCAGAAATGCGAGCACATATGAATGGACCTCCGCCGTGTTCTTCCCCTTTCTCTACCCTTTCTTCTCTGTTCCTCCGGGAAATCTAGCCGCTCCGGCTAAGGCGCGAAGCGTATGCATTCAATATTCGAGTTGAGTTTGGGTTACAATCCCAATTCCCAAGGAGGCATCGATTGCACGTATCGAGGTTTCGGGTTTGGTTGACAGCTTGCAGGTATGGCGGGCAGCCGGGCATTGGGCAAGATGGGGGGCTTTGGATTTTAAGGAGGACAAATTCGTCTTTAAAATAAATAGCCGTGGTGCGCAATTTTCATGGACTCCCGTCCAAAAGAGTCATACAAAGTTGCAACGATAAGGTGTTAATGGACTGGGAAAAAATCATTTTGTGTCCATCTATTATGTGACCACAAATATTATTTTTAATGGTTTTACATCATCGTTAAATAAGTATTTCAATTAGTATCTCGTTAAAATTTTAGATAAAAAAAAATATCATTATCAATAATATTTGGTATAATAAACAAGATAATGAAGGTATTAGTATATTACTAATAAACAAGATAATGAAGGTATTAGTATATTACTAATACAAACTGATGTAGTAAATACGGGTGTATACGACGGAATACAATGCTAGAGTCGGTTTCGGTTACGACCTCTTTACATAGTCTGCTTGTTGGTTTAAGTTATGAAGCTTGGAATACTTGACAATGGGTCAGAAGTTCCCAAGCCAACAGTTAGGGTGTAGAAATAGCCAAAAGTTCCCCCATACTGCGGTATTTATAGGGAAGAAGAGGGAACATGTACCGATCTCACGACATGTACAACATGTGGAACCCATACACAAGCTCGGACCAAGACCCAATGTGGCTTGACCACCTGTCCTAATACTCATGAGTTTATTAGGTGCACTGCAATTGCGTTATGCCAGTGAAATCAGGTTGATAGGTCGGTCCCGACCTGATTAGGTCGGGACACAACAATTACTATAGTGTTTGCATATGGTTGAGCTCGGTAAAAAAAAATGGTCAGAAGAGTAAGCGTACCATGCTGGTGTAGATCGCACCGAGCTTTACTCTAATAATGGGTCTGTTACCAACCACCATACATGTACAGTCGATAAGAAATAATCCCCATCACAAACGTCACTTTAATTTTTGTCTAAACTAGCAAGTTATTAAGTTTAGGTGTCAATAAACTAAGTTAATAGTGCCTTATAAATCAATTTGACAATAATGCAAAAATTGGCGATACTTATATTCTTGTGACACTTAATTACAGGATTTAAAATGGGTCCTTAAGTATTGTTGTATAACGTATTCACCTTACCACTAAATTCGAATTCCACTCAATGATAAGTCGGTGAATAATCCTCATGCTAATGCTCAAAGGCGAGTCTGCAGAGTTTTCAAATTCTTATAATTATCGTTATTGGTTCACCCTTCTTCTTTGGTCGAAGATTTTTTTCAAAATTATTAGTTGTCAATAATTGAGGTACTATCATTTTTTTTCTTTTTAATAAAATTATGTGCCAAATTTTATTTATTTTTTTGTTAATAGATAATACGAATTTTTATTTGTATCATTAGTATTTATTTTACAATAATCATATTTCCTTCTTCACATATTTATTTTATGTATATGACTTTTTAGATTTTTGTTTTTGTGTACACGTGTTGGAAAATGAGAGTAATGAAACTTGCACTTAAAATTGTACTCCAAACAGTTGTACGGATATGATAAATTATTAATTTATCACCACATAATTTATAAATAAATAAATAATCACCACACAACGTCCATGTATTGCCAAAAAAAGAAAAAAGATAATCAACGTCCACATACTGCTAAAATAAAAAGTTATCAATTTTGTACTAAAAAATCATGAATTAAATATTTTTTTAAAAAATTTGTCAAATAGACCCATAAACATTACTCAAGAAATCAATTAAGCCATTAAACTTTAAAAAGTTACAATTAAGTCAATAACATATTATTTTAGAGCATTGAGACTCAAAAATCAGTTAGTGACCTATAATTACTTATCGCCGGAGAAGGCGACCCATCTGGTTGCCTTCTACCGCAAAGGAGAAGATGATCCATCAGGTCACCTTCTCCAGTCGTCAAAGAAGGCAATCAAACGACACCGACAATTATTTTGCTGGTGTTTTTTTATCGAAATATAGTTAAAATTTCACTGGAATTTTAATGACTTGTAATTATAAATCACCAATCAATTTTTGAGTCTCAATCCTTGCCAAAACAGGATGAAAATTTGAGTTTGAAATAAAACGAAACCAACAAACCTAGATTAATCTTTTTAAAAATGACACCAAAAGCAGAGAGATTCATTTTCTTTGATTATTTTGTTTTTTATTTTATTTTGTGACATACTATTAAAATATTTTTTTAATTTCTTAGTTATAAACTCAACGAACTCGTAATTTTATTTTTTTTTTTGAAAATACGAACACATAATTTTTATGTTCAAAAATTATATTCTACTAACTCAGTTATATCTATCGGAGCCATGTCACGTCATTTTACTCTTTAACAAATGAGGATATTACTGATGTAGCACCACTAGTGCGGAGTAACAAATTATATATGCATGGAAATTTTGTATGCACGATTTCCACGAAATGAAGACACGGCAAAACTATATATATATATATATATACACAAATTTGATAAGATGACGGAAAATGTAAAGACGCCTTTAGCAAAGCATCACTGTAGTTGAAAAACTCTGGTGGACAGCACAATTACGTCCCCGTGGAAGAAAAATGTCGGAAGAATCAGGTGTTTTTCTCTAGTACTGAGAGTGCCGGTGTCAAGTAGTTGTTGGCTTTATCGGGTAAATGTGCGACCTGTGAGCGAAATTTTCAGAGAAAATGTTATACGTCACAGAAGAACACATCTTTAACCAGAACAAATTGACAGAAACAGACTGCGAATGAGAATGCTGATGCATCAGAACGTTTCGGGAGGCTGTTTCTTGAACGAGAGAGCTCGTTATCAATGTAAGAGAATCGTGTGTAGAAAAGTAATGGTGGTAATGCTGCTGATGCATTAGAAGGTTTCGGCTTGAACAAGAGAGAGAGCGTTGTCAATGTAAGAGAATAGCGAGTGTAGAAAAGTAGTGTATGTATTTACCAGCTCGTAAAGCTCCTTCCCGGATTCAGACACGTATTCGTAGCATACCTAGTCAGGGAAAGTGCAACTCTGTAAATTAATCCCGTTTGAGAGGGTATGATCAGTGAAGCAAAGAGGGTAATTTTTTGTTCTAACTCACATCGAAACTTTTATTCCGGGCTGTTGAGTCGTGCAATGCCTTCACACAGATATCAGCAACGTCTGCACAGCTGATTCCCTACAGTACCCTTAGACATTAGGACCAGCCATTATTGCAGTAATGCTCTTAAGAATAACATACAAAACTAACCTGAGATATTCTGTTTCCTTGGTCAAATACGAGGGCACGTTGGCCACCAGGTTCTTCCTGCAAGAAATAATCATTAAGCACTTATCATATAGATTCTCAGTCTAAACCAAAGAAACAAATGGAGGAAAAAGAGAAAACATATCTGCAGCAATCCCAAGAAAAAACAGACATAATTCAATTGTTCGGGAATGTAGGAATGAAAACATGTAACTAAGCTAAAGCGAATCTGGAAAGATGTGAGCCAATATCACACATTATGCAGCTTATCTAGAGAACCGACCACTTTATTTATCAACAGTGCCAAGCTGAAGACAACTAGATAAAAATTGAGGTATATTAACATATTTACCATCAAGGGACCAGGGCGAATTATTGTATATCCAAGGCCCGACCTTCTCAATGAGTCTTCTCCAGCCTAAGATATTTGCAACTAAGGAAATCAGTTGGAGAAGAATATATGAAAATCCTTCAAGAATTATAAAATCTGACTTAAATACCCGCTTGGCTTTCAACACTTGCTCCCTTCGAGAAGGTTCTATCCCCAACCCTGTACATGATACTAAGACAAAGTCTGTTTCTTGGCCAGTCTGCAAATACAAGAGCCATATGACAATGAAGCAAATATCGAGGATAATATTACATTTGCAAAGCAGATTTCTAAGGGGTACAGGAAGATGATCCTAACTAGATGGACGTGCAAAATTTTGGAAGAGATGGAAATTTCAGGCAACGAATATTCCACCATACAGGTGAACTTACAGGCAATGCTTTAATATATTCCAAAATTAGTTTAAAGCTTCTCAGGTCTTGCTGCACCCCATCAGGTCCTTCTATTGATCTCTGCAGTGAATAGAAATGCAAAGAAAAGTCTAAGGAAGTAATCCAAGAAAGAATTAAACAGAACGAGTAGTTATGATTAGCTTAATTGAACGTGTGGATGTATGCTATGTACAAAAAGATCTCGCCTACAACTAGCCAACTAGTGGGATTTAGAAAGTTTTAACCACATGCAGAATGGTGTACATTTAGCGCGCACTCTCATGTGACAAATAGCAATCTTAGGCAGTAATCCAGAAAAAAAAAAATTACAATAAATATTGAATAGTACAAGTAGTTATGAGTATCTTAATTGTGCATGTGGAATGTATATTACACACAAAGATCTCCTCTGAGTAGCAAGGTTGGGAACAGAATCAAGAAAATGTGTAAAAATGATTGGCTTGAATAAAACTGAAAGTAAAGATTGGCTTTGAAGAGCAAACCTGTCTTCTTGGCTCAAAACGAATAGTCAATGTATGTACAAGGAATGGATCCAATGGTGGATCATCCGGGTTCACAGGCCGGAAGGAAGAAAATGGCACTCTTACCTGTGAGAGCATACATGTTTAATTTAAAACATCTATAATAAAATCCAGACTAGTTGCACATAGCTCAATGAAAAATCAACTCACCCTACAAAATCCAGCTTTCGTGCTGATTCTCGCAAAATACATTTTGCTTTGGGTTGTATCCACAGAAGGACCAGCTTCAAGAATTAAAATGTACGACCGCCCATTCCCGCCAACAGAGAAAACTAGGCCCTCATACCTAAGCATCCCAATATCATTGGGAATGAGTTAATTACATCAAGGAGAGAAATCAGAGAATTAAAGTTGCTGAATAAGTAAAAGGAATGTGAGGGATTAAGCCAGCACTATGTACCTGTCAAGTGTGTACCCCAAAGGAAGTGAAAGCTTTTTCGACAATTCAACATATCCTCCTCGTGTGAAGACATATCCTGTTGTGCATTCAGAAAGCACAAAGAATGATACCAGGACTTTTTCATCATTCTCATAGAATCTTTAGAATACCATAGCATATATCAAAGATTCAAAATATTACGTTTTCCTTTCATAGTGAGCCTCCATCACATAGTATCATTAACCAAATTTCTACTAGCAAATTACAGAATAATCAATATTTTGCAGCAAGTTATTGATACCTGAAAAAACAGCTTCTCCAGTTTCAGTAAACTCAAATTTTGCATCCATCCCTCCATCATACTTGGTAGCAATTACATCTTGGAAATAAGTCCCCTGACGAACTTCCCACTCATTCAATGAATCTTCAGACTTGAATTTTGCAATTAAAAGCTTGCTTTTGCTACTCTTCCCTGCCCGCATCTGTGCAAGCTTATTATTATAGTCCTGCATACATAAAAGTTATGTTGGAAGGTTAATGAACTACGCAATGTAACAAAACGAAAAGTTTTTCAGGAAACAAATGAGTACCTGAAGAGCTTTGGTAAGGTTGTAAACCCCCTGATTATCAACTCTGTTGAGATCCACAGTGACAGTGGAACGAGCCGTGGCACAATATATGATTTTGTTGCAGCCTTGTACGGCATCGGCGAGAGTGGAAGGTTCGCCCACATCCCCAATCACAAGCTCGACGGACGTCGGGAGCATTTCGGCCACTTCCTGATCGGCACTCCTTACCAGAGCCTTGACTGTGTAACCCCTAAGCATGAGCTTCCGGACAACGATGCGGCCGACGCGGCTGGTAGCCCCGACGACGAGGACGGTGGTGTTCTGCGCCCCAGGGATGGCGAATTCGCACATTGGGCCCCCCTCGCGGATAAGAAGGCTCGCCTCATCGTCGGTGCGGTTGGTCCTGGAAATCTGCCCTAATCCGGAGAATTTCCGCCACACTTCGTCGAAAATTTGACGCGAACGTCGCCCCAACCCCACTGGATTCACTTCATCGAGTCTCTTTATGACGGACACTGAAGACGACGATTGATCCTCGCCGTTGAACGAGCTAGTAATTTCTCCGGCGTCATTCTCCTTGTTCTCCTCCTCCTCGCCGTCGTCATTCTGAAGCTCCGTCTTCTTCTTCCTCCTCCTCCTCTTCTTCTTGTCCTTGCCAACGGCGTCGGGAGTAGAAGAAGAAACAGTCGCCCTCGAAACAACAAACCCGCTCCAACCCCCACTCCCACCCGCCGTCGCGATACGGATTGTTCCGGCCGACACGGAATCAAACGGAGACGGCTTCGATCTCCATATTCGCTGATTACCGTTGAACCCGACGGCCGTAGCAGCTGTGAAAGCACTGCTCATCTCTTCAAAAAAATCAAACACCCTGAGAAATCTCTCCCGCTTCAATCAAATCTCCGCCGAGCCCCCGCTCTCTCTCGGGTTTCTCCAAAATGGCGTCGATCGGAGAGTAATGCTGGTGGCTAGTCAGGCACTGAGAGAGACGTGGCATGGATTTTCGACCACATAAGAGGACCCACAGTAACGAAACAGTGTCGTGAATTCGGATCACGCCACGTAGTGATTTTCATTTCCTTTAGTTTTGTGTAGATCTAAAATTTCCTTGATGAAACCCGATGGCGGATATATTCATTTTATTTTTTGTGCCCAGTAGTTGTCCACGTGTCAATAGAATGTACTTTCCTTATCCACTCTGACTTTTTTTTTTTTTTTTTTTTTTGTGGAAAATCCACTCTGACTTTGATCACTGTCAATTGCCTGGTCAGTGATTGGATATTGCATGTTCAAATACTTTATCAATCAATAGTGAACCATGATCCACATGGTCAAGTTCGGCAAATTATCCTGTGGAAACGTGAATGATGCACACAGAATTGTATTTATAATTTATATACTATAGATTTATAATTATTGAATTCTATATTCATAATTACAAAATTATATGTTCATAATTTTCAATGTTCATATTTTCAATTTTTGAGCTCTGTATTCACAAATTACTGAATTATATATTCATAATTTGATAATTATACAGTTTAAAAATTATAAATTTATAGTATAGGAATTATGAATTTACAGTATAAAAATTATAAATCAAATTCTATGTGCACCTTGCATGATGCACACGGTTGCACAGCATAACGCTCCGTAAAGTTCACATGAATGTGTTCCATATACCCAATAGTTATGTTGTGCAATCGTGTGCACCATGCATGGTGCACACGGTTGCAAAACGACGTCGTTTTGACTAAAAACGCGTGTTACATTTAAAAAAAAATCAGTTTTGATTTCCCTCAACATCATTATTGTGGATATATAGTTATGAATTTATAGATATTTAGTTCATTCATTCTGGATTTTGTGTTATTCATTCACTGTGGATATATAGTTATGAATTTGTGGATATAAAATTCAAATTATGCACAAAAAAATGCTATTGTCAGAAATCGAACTTGTTTTTTTGTTAAGTGGGACGCGTGTTTTTAGTCAAAATGATGTCATTTTTACAACCGTGTGCACCATACATGGTGCATTCGGTTGCACAGCATAATTTGCGCCATATACCATATTCCATACGTCCATACATAATAATGCAAATATGGAAGCTCGTGTTTGGGCAATAAGGTTTTCAGACGTTATGCCATGGAACCGTGTTCACCATTCATGGTGAACACGGTTCTAACGGTGTTAGTACACTGTTATCTTTTTTTTTTTTTTGTTAATTAATTGCGTGACTTTTCTTCTTTATTTTCACATTTTGCGGTTTCACTTTAATTTGAGGTGAACAAAGATTTCGGACATTCATAAATTATGAATTCATGCCTGCACATTCACTTTGGAACCATGCCTACACATTCCCGTCCGAAATCACGGACATTCATAAATTATGAATCCATGGCTGCACATTCACTTTGGAACCATGCCTACACATTCACTTTGGAACAATGAGATTATGAATTTTCTGTTATAAGATTATGAATTTTCTGTTATGAGATTATGAATTTTCAGTTATGAGATTATGAATTTTCTGTTATGCGATTATGAATTTTCTGTTATGAGATTATGAATTTTCATTACATTCATCATTTCGGACATTCATAAATTATGAATTCATGCCTGCACATTCACTTTGGAACCATGCTTACATATTCCCGTCCGAAATCACGGACATTCATAAATTATGAATCCATGGCTGCACATTCACTTTGGAACCATGCCTACACATTCACTTTGGAACCATGAGATTATGAATTTTCTGTTATAAGATTATGAATTTTCTGTTATAAGATTATGAATTTTCTGTTATGAGATTATGAATTTTCAGTTGTGAGATTATGAATTTTCTGTTATACGATTATGAATTTTCTGTTATGAGATTATGAATTTTCATAAAATTCATAATCTCATAACAGAAAATTCATAATTTGATCAAACGCGCGCCGTTAACTCCACATCCGCGAAATTTTTCTTTTGGGCCTAAAAACAACGTCGGTTTGCCTTGTGTTCACCATTCTCGGTGAACACGATTCCATGGCATAATTTGCGTAAGGGTTTATATTGGGCTGCAAAAAGTTAATGGGCTATAATTGAAGACAGCTTTAGCAATCGTTATGCGTTGGACCCGTGTCCAGCATGCTTGCTGGACACGGGTAACAGTGCCGTTAGGCACTGTTATCTCTCTCTCTTTTTTTTTTTTTTTTTTTTTTTTTAATTTTAGACAGCTTCATTGTAAGAGTATATGTTCATAATTTTATTACTATATGTTAATAACTATACATTCATAACTCCATAACTGTACGTTCATAACTCTATAACTGTACATTCATAACTCCATAACTGTACATTCATAACTCCATAATTGTACATTCATAATTTTCGAAGCTCTATGTTCACAATTTTAGAGCTCTATGTTCATAATTTTATCACTATATGTTCATAATTGTAAGTTCATAATGTTAGAGCTCTTTGTTCATAATTCGATCAATAACTGTACATTCATAATTCCATACTGTAGATTCATAATCTTATAACTGTAGATTCATAACTCCATAACTGTAGATTCATAACTCTATAACTGTATATTCATAACTCCATAACTGTACATTCATAATCTTCGAAGCTCTATATTCACAATTTTAAAGCTCCATGGTCATAATTTTATCACTATATATGTTCATAATTGTAAGTTCATAATGTTAGAACTCTGTGTTCATAATTTCATAATTGTATAACTGTATATTCATAACGGCATAACTGTACATTCATAACGACATAACTGTACATTCATAATCAAAAAAAAAAAATAAAAAAATAACGCCGTTAACGGCAAAACGCGCGCGTTTTTTTTTTTTTTTATAACTAAATGACGCATTTTTTTAAAAAAACGACGTCGTTTTGGGCCCGTGTCCACAATTCAATGTGGACACGGGTCCAGGGCATAATTTGCCCAGCTTTAGTTGTTCGGCTTTGAATTTGGGACTTAAAATGTAAATTATATCTAATTAACTTTTAGCCATCAAAATTTACAATAATGATAGAGATTAGTAAATTGTATTGTGGACAATCACTAAAGTCAAATGTAAAATTATGTCATATTAATATATTATTAGTTGATAATTAAATCAAAAAATATTATTGATAGGTTGAATACTGGAGGTTTCACATTTTGTATCACCCCATGTGGTTGGCCTTGGTCTAGGTAATCAGTCCATGCCCATGCCCATTATAATCTAAGATGATGGACGTGTTCACCCATATTTGAAAATGACAGTTGGGATGATTTATTTTCAAGTTTAGATTATTACTCTTCTTATGTTGGGAATCAATTTGTAATCAGTTCAAGAATATGTTGCAATGCATCAGTATTCCATCCAATAATATTTTAAACTCATTTTTGGAGTAAATGAACTTCAAAGTATAGGGGTGTTTGGCAAATGACTGATAGCTGGTAGCTGATATCTGATTGAATTAGATGATAGTTAATAGTTGATTGTGTTAGTTGGTTTGACAAACTGATTGTATTAGCTGGTTATAAAAAGGTGTTTGGTAAATTAGTTGTTTACTATTAGCTTATTGCATGTAAAATGACATTTAAGGGTATGAGTGTATTGTGTTATTTTAAGTTTTAAATATAACAAAATATATAAATTATTTGATAAATAATTATAAAATTTAAATCAACATCTATACTTTTTTCTAGGGTATAAGTTAATTATTTTAGTTTATTTAATTATAATAATAATTAAATTATATTTAAAAAATATTATTATATTATTTTTAATTTTAATAATTTAAAATTTAAAATGATTTTTGCTGTAATTATTATTATTATTATTATTATTATTATTATAATTATTATTATTATTATTATTATTACTAGTAATTCACCCGCGCGATGCACGGAAAAAATTATGTTATCATAAATATAAATAAATAAATAGAAAAAAAATATTTTAAATTGTTTAATATAATAATATTTTTGAGCTTTCATTGGTCAAGTATTTGTTATTTTTATAGAATACAAAATTAAAATTAAAATTTTGTATGGTTAATATAATCTCTAATTATGTTCATATTCAAATAAACTTATAAGATAATTTACATAATTACAGTAATTTATTCTTAATTGTATTTCATCTATATTATAATTTTCACAATATGAATAATAACTAAGATAATTACATTTAGAAAGCAAATTTCAAATTTTGTAGGAGTAAATTTAAACTCTAATTGAACACATTTTTTTTATATGATTATATAATATATATTCTTTATGCACATGTCATTCCATAAACCCACATGTCATTCTATAAGCTCAATACCACTTTTTGTGGAGATAATTCAAATGATTTTTTTTTTCTTTTAAAAGTCCTAAGTTTATAAATCCAGAAAACATTAAAGACCCATACGATATATACATTTATATATTTAAATTTTTATTTATGGCTGAAATGATTTTTTTTTTTTAAATTCTGAAGTTCAATAATTGACCCATGGCCCGCAGCATTTGTTTTCTTCATCTTTTGCCATTTCTTTGAAGCATTTGAGAAGATAGAAAAGTACACTCCACAACCTCTACCTGTAGAAGGTGGTTCCTTAATGTCTGGCTCCATTTTTTCTACCACTTTCTATGATTCTTCTCTTTTGTTTATTCCTTTTTTTTTTATAGGTGTGATTGTTAGAGCCTCCTATACATTCTACCGTCTTTTGTCTCCTCCGCCGCCATGGCCATGAAAATACACAAATGGTAAGACAAATTGTTACAGTTTACGCTCACATGTATTTGATCTGGGGTGTTTTATAGGAGAAAAATTATATGTAGAGGCTTGCATTAATTGCACTGTTTCGGATATCGAATAGGCTTTCATCGAAAATTTAATTAATATTGTAATCCCAAGAAGCACCATAGATAACAAAAGCCGGAGATTTAATTAATATTGCATCGTTTCATATTTTCTATTAATCGAGAATCGGAATCTTTAATCATAATATCATAACAGTTAATAACTCCATTAATTCAATAATGTAATCCTTTGTTATGGGCGAGAAAAAATAGTTATTTTATTTTTTAAATGTTATTATTATTATTATTTTTTTAGTAAAGGATGCTGTAGCTATTTTATAATAATAACTTAATAAGGATAGAGATAATAATTGTAACATTAATTAGTTCACAAACCATATAGTTTTATTATAGTTAACATTATTATTATGAGGTAATTACCGATTTGGTCCCTCGACTATGAGAATTTCACCACTTTGGTCCTCGACTTTCAAAATTGACCAATTGCATCCTCGACTATGCTATTTCTCACCGATTTGGTCCCAAGTCATAACTGCCGTTTGTGTAATGTTAAAATCAAGGATAAAAATGTAATTTTATTTTTTAGCCTTCTTTATTGTGTAATTTCATTTTTTTACACTTCCCCATTTTAGTCACCGGAGCAACCATGGTCGAAGCTAGGGCACGAGACTGCCCCGCGACCGCGCAGTCACCCGACGTCTCAAACAACCTCCGATCGTCAACTCCAGCATGGCGATCCCTTCGTCGAGTCGCCACAAAGGCAGCGGGGGAGCAAAGAAGGCCATCGCCGGCCTGGACTGCCACCGGCGCCACCATCGTCGAAACTGGAACGCGATCGCAACTGGTCTCCAACCGCGACCAATCTCCAATCTGTTGACGGTGCTCATCTGGGATAGACGGATGAATGCCAGAAGAGAGGAAAAACCCCAATTCATAAAACCTTTTACCCCCAATTCATAAAACCTTTTGGCAAAAGATTGAGGTGGAGAAGAAGCCGGATTATGGCTCTAGGTGCGGTCGATTCAGCCATTCTCTGGTGGCTTGCCGGAGGAATTTAGGGGTAGAAGGTGACGGGAGAACGGTGATGGAAGGTGCTGGAGATCGGAGGGAGGTTGGAACAGAGCCTAGGATGAATTCTCCAGCTTGGCCGATGCAATCTGTTAATCCAGAAGTAAGCGATGAAGGTAAAAGCAAGAGCATGCCACCTGTTTGTAAAAATACTCCAATGATAGTGGCTGAGCAAAATGTATAAAGGGGTGAAGTTTCTGCTACTCTAGAAGCATGTGGTTTTTCCTCTCTTCAGTCGCGGATGTGGCAATGCTTAAACGCCTCTCTAACCTTTCATTAGTCGCGGCTGGCACGTAAACTCGATTCATACCCGAACTCAGCTCCAGATTACATCCAATCCTTCCTCTCTCGTTTCTCTAAATCCAGATTAGGCACCTTTGCATCAAGCTTTGCACTTAAGGGATTCAGAGAATTACCTTCTTTTGTTCCACTCACATTCTGCGATTTTTCTACATCAAGTCTTGCCTTTGATTTTTCTGAGCTATCGGAGCATTAGAGGTCAACTCTGGTGCCATTGCGAACGAGACACCTTTGGGCTGCTCCTTGGCCTTTTCTTCCTCAATTTGCTCTCATTTCCTCCTTTTTTTCTTTCAATGATTCCAGACACATTCTAAATGAAGTGGTCCGCCAAAAGCTCTTCTATTGATCCTTCTTTGTTTTTGGCCCTCTGAAAGATTTCTTCGAGAGCCAGAGATTCAATTTGCAAGTTGTGGTCGCCAATTTTGACCGGAGGATGAAGAATATTTGAATTTCCTATTTTACCCTTACACTTTGACGGTAAAATAGACTGAGGACCATTTTGGTTAACGTTTTCATAGTTGAGGATGCAATTGGTCAATTTTAAAAGTCGAGAACCAAAGTGGTGAAATTCTCATAGTCGAGGGACCAAATCGGTAATTAACTCTTATTATTATTATTATCAAATATCAAATGTCTACCCAGTACGCACACCCACCTCCCGTTTTATTATTATTATTATTATTATTATTATTATTATTATTATTATTATTAAATTAATAAATACATACCCAACCCACTTAATTACCCACAAATCCCTAATCCGCAAACCCTACCCATTTTCCTCTGCAAGCAAACGATGCGAAGAAACAGGATTGCGACTACGAAGAAGACGGCGACTACGAAGAAGATGAAGGAGACTGGCGATGACGAAGAAGAAAGCGGCAATGACGAGAAGCAGCAACGAGATGCAGAGGATGAAGACGTGGTTTGTATTTTTTTTTTTAAGTCTTTTTATTTTTTGTAAATTTAAAAAATATAGTTTTTTTTTTGTTGTGTATTATGAGTTTTGATGAAGATGAAGATGATTTTTGTGATGGGTTAATAGCCAATTTTATTATTATTTTTATTTGCTTTTAATTTTTGAATTTTCTTATGTTCCATGGCTGTGAGGGGATGAACAACATAATTTTGTTCTGATTTCTTTACTGAATATACTTGAGTTTTGGGATGAAGATGAGATCAGGGATAGTTTTGGCTTTTTAGAAGAAACGGGATAAGCTAATGCAGCCTGCTGGGTGCAGCGTTTAGAAAATCAGCTTATTGGCCCTAACAGCTATCCCAACAAGCTCTTTTACCAAACACTAATTTTGGCTGATTGACTAAGTCAATCAGCCAAAATTGGTCAAATCAGCTGGAAAATAGCTGATAAGCTGATAACCAAACACCCCATAGTCAGACTGAGAAAATGAGAAAAGAGTAGGTGGTAACTAAGTGGTCCTAGCCTCCTAGGCAAGGACAATGAACCAAGAGATCAGAATGCATGTGACTTTCCTACTTCCTAGGCAAATGATTCGTGGAATGCATGTGACTTTCCTAGGCCCTACATCCCGTACTTTTATATTCTTACTCTTCTCTGAGTTTTTGAAAGGAAAAAGAACCCAGAGAAGAGTGAGGAAGAACATACTCACTCTTCTCTGAGTATGGTCTTCCCGTTCTTTCTTTTTGCAAATCTGAGTTGAGTTCCCTATATATAATTATATTTGAGTCCTTAGTTCATCACACAAGCCCAACATAATTTCAGCCTCGCCAAAAATCTGGCAGATTTGTTGGAAAAAGTTGGACCCCCAACACTACACGGTGAGTCTTCTTCACTATTCTATAATTCAAGTATCATAACCTATTATAGTGTTGTTAGGTTAGGGATAATGTGGCAGATGGCTGTGGTCCGTGCCAAATATTGAGGCCAAGAAACAAGCTAAGAGCTAGGTTAAGGCCATTGACATATCTGATTAAACTTGTTATATCTTACATAAAGCCATATTACTAATTTAAATTCAAGAATAAAATAAAACTTGTGTGTTTGTTGTGAGTTAATTCCTTAATCTTTGGGAGTCTAATACTTTCATAATTTGAATTTCTTTTGATTTTATGTTTTTTTTTTCATCCTAATAATATTACATATTTACATGTTTGTCTATGTTAGTTCTTTTGGGTTTGTTTTGTAAAATATAAGGGCTAGACATATGCATCATGTATATTAGACGACATGATATCAATAATGCTAGCTTAAATATTCATTCATTCTAATAAGCTAAGGAGGATGCCCAAAAATAGGTATTTGAATTTCAATACTAAATGTAAAAACAAAAAAAACTATGAAATAAAGTATGATATATGGTTATATACGGCACTTAATTAGCCGAGCCAATGTTGGCATTATCTTTTTCATCAAAACATCTCTTTCACAGCCAACGTTTCTTTCAGACCCTTTTTTTCATCTCATTAATGGGGATCCCCTTAGTTTCAGGCACCAAGAACACAACAAACAACCCCATAACCAAAATGAAGGAAACAAACATTAGAAGATGCCGGGTTTCATGGTGCAAAGCATGGTAAGGCAGGCCTGCACCACAATAAAAGTGAATATTATATTTGTGCTAACCGTGATGAAAAAACCTGTTGTTGTTTTGGTCTCCCTACATTTCATTGGCAATTAGTCACCCAACAGACTCCAAGACTAAGTGAAACCCATCACAAACACACAAATCGCCATCACAATTACGTACTGCTGCAAACTTTGGTATGGTATTTGTTGCTTTTAGATATACGGCAAGAATTCTCTCTACCACACTCTGAGCTACAAGCATTTGGAGGACACCTTTAATTAGTAATGCTCTTCTCCCAAAATATCAGCTCCCAAGATTGTCACAATTGTGGAAACTGAATTAATAGATCCAATGATGACAGTAGACAACAGAGATGCATTTGCTCCTAACCCCATTGTTTGGAACCATACAGGACCCCATTGTTTGGAATAATACAGGTGAGTAGAACATGATGACATTGATGCCGGTCAACTCCAAAAATATCTGAAGAATGGTGTCGCAGAAAAGTTGCTCTGCCAAGGACGACATCAAGGTAGACCGAATATGTGAAAAACTTAAGCATTTAGTCGTCATATTTATAATAATTATCTTCTTGAATCATGTGTTTCTTCACGTACATAGCATGAAAGAATTTTTTAACAAATCCATTCATTGAAGTCACTCCACCTATAAAGTGATAAATAAAGAGAAATAATTTGATTATACCAAGAGCGGGAGGAATAGTTACGAGAAAATAGAGAAATAGGTGGAGTGACTTCAATGAACGGATTTGTTAAAAAATTCTTTCCTGCTATGTACGTGAAGAAACACATGATTCATGAAGATAATTGTTGTAAATATGATGACCAAATGCTTAAGTTTTTTACATCTTCAGTTACCTTGCTGTCGTCCTTGGCAGCAACTTTTATGCGACACCATTCTTCAGATATTTTTGGAGTTGACCGGCATCAATGTCATCATGTTCTACTCACCTGTATTATTTCAAACAATGGGGTCCTGTATTGTTTCAAATAATGGGGTTATGAGCAAATGCATCTCTGTTGTCTATTGCCATAATTGGATCTATCAATTCAGTTTACACAGGCAATCTTCGGAGCTAATTATTTTGGGAGAAGAGGCTTACTAATTGAAGGTATCTCCCAAATGCTAGTAGCCCAAGGTGTGGTAGGAAGAATTTTTGTAGTATTTCTGAAGGCAAGAAATACAATATTAAAGTTTGCAACAATAATTGTGCTAATTTGTGTGTTTGTGATGAGTTTCGTTTGGTCTTGGGATCCATTGGGCGGCTATTTGTCAGTGAAATATATCCACGGGATAACAAAACAATAGATTTTTTCTATCACGGTCAGTGTAAATATGATATTCACTTTTATTGTGGCGCAGACCTTTCTTAACTTACTATACTTTTTACCATGAAATCATGCATCTTTGCAAATATCTGGTGGCACAACAAACTTTCATTTCGGAGAATTATCATCCGTGACCGGTATTTTTCTTAAACGCTTATTTATTACTTGGTGATATTCATGTTCTTGTTAATTGTTGCTGCCTAGTTAAAGTAGTACCTTTTGTGTTGTTCCTATATTTTGTGCCTTTAAACTAGTGCTAAATTTTTCCATAATTTTGAAGTATAAATTTTGATATCTGATTCTTCTTGGTTGCTTCCTTCGTTTTGGTTATGGGGTTGTTTATTGTGTTCTTGCTGCCTGAAACTAAGGGGATCCCCATTGATGAGATGAAGAAAAGGGTTTGGAAGAAATATTGGTTGTGGAAGAGATGTTTTAATGAAAAAGAGGGAGAACCTTTGAATTTTGAATGTAAATTTAAAGTTTAATGTGAATTCTCTTTTTAATTAATCAATTCATATATATATATATAGTTTATGTAAATGAATGTTTAGGTACAAAATAATGTTTTGGTAAAATACTATTTTTTAAAAAAGTCTAAATATTTTGTAATATTATCATCATTATATATCAATAGCAAAAAAGTTAATAAGAGTGTATTCAGTCAAGACTTTGACTCTCATAACACTCATAATTGTTAACAACTATATACACATACACACAATGAATTATGTATTTAGCAAACAGAAGAAAAGTCTTCATTAACAATGTTCTATAAATTTTACACATTACCTGGAATAAATAATTGTATCCCCTAAAGGGTCAAGTCCAACACTCTGCCTCCACTAATTATAGTCTTTGACGTAGGGGTAAGCGCTTGATCAAATAATAGTAAGCTCTGGATCCTAATAGGTGGGATCAAATAATTCATCGTACCTGCAGAATAAACTCAGGCAACATGGGTGAAAGGTCTTCGATTTTACATTCATACCACCTTGAACATGAGCATCAGCAACTCCAAATACACCACTACACACACATATTCCAATATACTGCCATATTCTAACCAATATAAGGGGACTTCATACTCTGAGGCAAACTGCCTGACAATGAGTTTTCGGAGAGATCCCAGCTGGATTAATACTCACAAGTTAATCAACTGTTTTTAAGTATTCTGTTACTATGGTTTTCTGTAACAGGGATTATTACAAGATACATAGCCATACAGACAGATATAGATGGGTTCAATTTAATGCAGTCAACTGGTTTTACCGGTCTCTCCCTCCAAAACACATGCATTTTGAATTATACAAAAGAATCTAGTATCAACCAAGAGAGGGAGAGCATTAATCCCAAATTCAGGTGATCTGTCTTTATAGAAAGAAGAGTCTGATGGTAAATATTGCAGCTCTTACATCTCAGCAAGTTTGATAAGTTGTTGAAACATGTCACTCAGAGATCCACTCAGCTTATTATTATTGAGATGCCTGCACCAGCCCAAAAATATTGATATAAGAAGCCCAAGCTCATTAATAATTAATATTAATAATAAACTAAAAAGAAGAAGAAGAAGGCCACAGTAATAATGTCACTCAGAGATCCACACTGTCAGATCCAATTCTTTCAGTATAAAAGGATAAAGAATTTTTCTTTAAGAAAAAAAAAACAATTTCCAAGAGTTGTGTAGGCTTCACGCATAGCCCAACGATCCCTTCAGCTCCATTCCAGATAGATCACTGCAAGTATTTTTTATTTTTATTATTATTTTTTTTAATGGAGACATGCTCAGAAAACCAGATCTCAGGACTGCAAGCCATGTATGCAGATAAAGAGCACACTATGGTTTAGTATTGAAATTGTGAACTTTTATACCTGGAAGGGGATTTCTGAATATAATACAAGGTCTGTTAATATTATATGACAAGAGTATTTTAAAAAAACTTGTGAATACAAAATATACAAAACAAGACAATCAATTCCATATATGTTAACATTGTGTCTTTTTGTAGTAAACAAATTGTGAATTTTTTTAAAGATAAATTGTAAATATTTGGATCTGGGTCGACATTGTAAGGTAAATTCGAGTCAACATAATAATTTGCCGAGAATAATAAACCCTAGTCCTACTACATTATGAATAATGAGTTTCTTTCTTCATTTTTTTTTTGAAAGGAAACAACTGAATACATTAATAATCAACCAAATGAGAAATACAAGTCGGTGGCACAAAAAACATTCAAATATGGTTGTATGGACCATATTTTGTCTACTATAATATAATAATAATGTACATTCAGTATAAAAATAATGTATATTGTATACATGGGATATGCATTATTTTTGTTCTGAGTGTATATTATATTGTATAATGTACATACAGTACAAAAATAATGTACATTTAGTATATTAAAAATGTATTTTTTGTTATGGTCCACATAACATTATGTGGACCATGGTCCACATAACATTGTGTGGACCATGGTCCATACAATAATTTGCCCACAGAAAACCACGAGCCCGGGGCGGACGAAGAATTATGAATAATAAGCTCAATCGTATTGAACTATGAATAGGCCCAAATTACTCATTCCTTGTTGGGCTTCCTTGATCACATTGATTTGTGAATTATAATATGTATCTTCATATAAGTTTTTCATAATAACGTTTCTTTATGTGAGCAAACTATTTCATAACATTTTTATATTTATTAATGATCTACTATGCTTGTTTTCTGCGATGTCTTGTTGCAAACGGGAAATAAAAAATGCAATTGTGATAGAACACTAGAATCACTACTTAAAAAAAAAAAATAGAAATGACATATGAATTGAACGTGTTTATAGATTGAGGACTCATTCCAATTATTGACATGAAAACAAAACGTACATAAGTTCGTAATATTTATTTCAACTAGTAATATTTAGTAAACTTATAAATCAAAATAATTTTGATTTGTTTTTTGAGTATTACAGCAGTTTTGAATTTTTAGTTACATTCCAATGGCAAAAAAAAGTGTCTGTCAAACTTAACGTTTAATTAATTATTTAATACAAAATAATATAAATAAAAAATGACTAAAGTGTCCCTCAATAATTTAAAAATTTAAAATGCATTATTAATATTAACATAATTTGTTAATGATGAACTAAAATTGTCACTTTATAAAAAAAATATTTTATGTATAATAATAATTAATGAACCAAATCTACAAAATACACACATATATATAATAGTAATGAATCAAAATCAATATTTTTCATAAATTTAAAAATACTAGTGTTTTATATATTTTTTAAATACTAATAACTCTTTACAAAGTAATATCTACTCTCTTACAATTTATATCCTACACCACGGCGCGCTTGCACTATGCGCCCAGATGCAAAACGACGTCGTTTTAATTATTATTATTATTTTTTTTGAAATTTCTCGCCCCAGTGAATTGCAGTAGTTTTTTCTTAAAAAAAAAACCCGCTGTTCAAGAATGTACATAATGTTATACTAGAATACACATAATCTTATACATGAATGTACATAATTATATAACAAAATATACATACTCTTTTTAAAAGATAATACACATAATCAACATAATACATAATAAACATAAACTTTTAACATAATACACATCAACTCTTAACATAATACACACAAATTTTCTGATTCGGATGTACATAATTGTATAAAAAAAATGTACATAATTGTATAAAAAATACACATAACTGTATGAACCAATACACATAACGTTGTGAACAAATATACATAACATTGTGAACAAATACACATAATCTCAGCAACTTCCTACCGCGCCTCCCAACACTACCCAAAACGACGTCGTTTTGGGAGGCGCGCGGCGCACAGTGCTATGTGCGCCGTGGTGTAGGATATAACGATTGCCCCTTATTACTATTGGCACGATGAATATTTGTTTGTGTTCTCTTACCCCTTATTACTATTGGCACGATGAATATTTGTTTGTGTTGTCTGCGTAAAGTCGTAAACAACTAAACATTGTCGGTTTTGGAGAAGTGCTTCCCATTTTAAAAACGCAAAAAAATAAAAAAAGAAAAAAAAGTGCATAAATGGAAAGATTTTCAATACTAAACGAATTGGTACGTTACGAACTTTACATGGTGAATTCAGAGGGGCATTATAATGGGCATAATAAAATCTCCGTTCCAACAGTCTACAGTCTGTGATCACATTGGCAGTGGCTTCAGCTCCAGATCCCAAAATTCATGCAACTCTCGCGGAGGAGACGGTTTCTACGCTGAGTGGTAAAGCACTTCTACCGCCCCCTACCTGCTCTATCTTCCCCTTCATCGTTCGAAATCATGTTTCCTCATCATCACGGACATTGAATTTGATTCGACTTGATACTGTTCCATCCAATTTTACAGATAACGATCGCATCCGAGAAGACATCGAACCGAGTAGCGGAGAATGGCGGCCGGAGGTTTTGTCATTCGGGCGTTCGAGTCCATGCTCAAGGAGTGTTCCAGTAAGAAGCATTCTTCTCTCCAGATGGCAATCCACAGTTGCTTAGGTTCGTATTTGATTTTAGTTGGAAATATATGTATTACTCTTCATCTATTGTCTGCATAATCTTTTTTCTTCGTTTTGTGTTTATGATGTACAAGTTATTACTAGTTTTTCATTTGTCTAGTGGGAGCTTGTAATGTTGTATCATTTCCATGCAGAGACTGCAACTCCATTTATTTAAAACTAATGCTTAAATGTGTATGTAATGCGATTTTGAGCTCATCGGATCCAGTGCCAACCCTCAGAACTAATGTTAGAGTGCAAACTAGCCAAGTATTCTAAGTTGCAATTGCAGAACGTGCAATCTGCATATAATGTAGTTGGGGAAAAAGGCGTCAATATTGTTGAGTGCATTAAATAAAAAGTAATATATATAGTGTGGTCTACTAAAAAAAAGAAAAAGATAGCTTTCTTATATAAATTCCAATTGAAAAGTCTTTTGTGAATGCTGTGTGCCTGTGTTACAACCTTGAGAGTCATTGAAGTCTATAAGAAGCATAAGAATAAGGTAGCAGCAAAATTTAGACAAAAAAAAAAAAGAATCAATCCACTTCACCTGCCTAGCTAACTGTATTTTTACTAGTAAAATGGATAAAAAATGTCTGGAAACCCCTAACAGCTTCATTTTCTTATGATATGTTTGAACTATAGAATTGTTTCTCTTCCTAGCCGTAAAGATCCAAAATAAGTAGGGCATATGGTAAAAAATCAAAGTATATGGTAAATTTACTACTACATATTTTTGTTACCACCGGTCTTGAAGCTCAACTGTATGTGCTTTAAAGTTGCTCTCTTTTAACAGTTTTTCCAGAATTCATTATGAAGTGGTTCTTCTGATCTGAATGTTTCTATCAATACTTCTTCTCTTTTATCCCAGATACTGCAAAGGCATCAGATCAGCAGCACATGCACAATGAGAATAAGAGGTATGAAATGAAACAAGAGCTTTTGCTAGTAAATATGCTTACCTGTTCATTATATAAGCTTTACAGAAGTATAAGATTTTTTGATGTTGGTTTCCAACTGATCTTTTAGAGGAGCATCCTCTATTTTTTCCAGTTCCCTTTATTTAAGGAGTTTACTAATTTCTAGTTTGATTTCTTGGAATCTCCTTTTCCTTTGTAGTAGTCTGCCTGAAACTGATGATGGATCCGGAACAATGCACTCAACCCCAACTTCACCAAGCAAGACTCTCATTACCACACTAGCAAATGCAGGCCACACTCTAAGTGTAGCTGAGGCAGAGCTTGTTCTCAATCCTCTTAGACTTGCTTTCGAAACAAAAAATATAAAAATTATGGAGCTTGCTTTGGATTGTCTTCATGTAGGTGCTTGTTTGTTTTTGTTTTTGTTTTTGTTTTTTTTTTTTTTGCTTCTGAAATTCCTTACCTAGCCAGAGAGTAATTCTTTTAAATCTTGTTCATTTGAAAATTGAGTTTTGTTTAATTCTTACGACATATCAAAATAATTAATGAAGGCACCAATGAGGTGACTCAGATGGAAATACTATAAAGTAAGTGTTTAGTGCCTCTAAAAAATTGACCATGCACCTACAGGGCTATAGGATTGGAGTACTCTCTCTTCGTAACAGAGAGTATGAAATAGCTGGAGTGGAGTGTGCTCCTTTCTGTGAAACTCTTTTGTTGAATTTAACAATGCAGTAGCCTTGATCTATGCATTTCAAAATACGTGATTGAAAAATAAAACTCAGGCACATAGATCAAATGGAATAAAGAAATTTTAAAAAAATCTTCAATTCATAATGTGTATGGGAACATGGGTAAACTTGTTTGTTGGGCAGTTTGTGATAGAGTTTTTAGTAGTGCATCATGTAACATGCCAATCAAATGCTAGTTACTAAATGCATATTATGTGAAATGTCCATTTTGACTAGACAATAAAACTTGTAAATCCTATGAGCTTTGGTATCATAATATGTTCTATATAATATACTCTAACAAATCAATAAATATAAAAATATTGCAATAATTTTCTGCATTCAAACATTCAAGCGCAGAAACTGATTGCATACAACCATTTAGAGGGAGATCTTGGTTTTGATGGTAAGGGAAATGTGCCACTCTTTTCAGACATCTTGGGCATGGTCTGCAGTTGTGTGGATAATGTATTACCAGATGGGTACGTGTCTCTTTATTGTAGGCAATTTGTACTCCCATATTGATGGGTTTTCTTAGATGTAACTACTGAGAAAATTATTTGCAGGACTACTCTTCAAGTATTAAAGGTACTACTTACTGCTGTGGCATCAACCAAGTTTAGAGGTATGGAACTGTTCTTAGGCGTTTCCTTCCTTTGAAAATTGAAATGAATCCACTAAATAAAAATTTTACATTGCTACTAATAATATGTGCTATAAAGTGATAGATTAAGAATTTTTTTATCAAATGTTTGCCGTGTTCCTAAAATTTGTGATGGTATGCACGTGATGCAGTTCATGGGGAACCATTGTTGGGTGTGATTAGCGCATGCTATAATATAGTTCTTAAGAGGTATTTACCTGTTTATTTGATGGTAAGTATGTATTTGACTTCAAGTGAAGCTGATAGCATCTGGTTTAAATATTCAGCAAATCCCCGATAAACCAGGCAGCATCAAAATCTATGTTAACCCAAATGCTAAGTATTATCTTTAAGCGGATGGAAACTGGAAACGTGGTATGTAATTTCCATGAGGATTACAGAAATTTTTGTTCTCTGGCACGATAGTAGCTTGGAATAGTCCAGATTAGAAATCAGAAATACTGTCTTGCTGACAATGCAGGCCTCTACTTCATCTGATTCTGTTAATCAGAAAATGGCTGCTTCAGCAAATGCACCTAACTTAGAGGTTGAGGATATGTCATCTGTTGATTATAACAAACAAGAAATGATGTTGGGAGATAAAGTTTCTAGTAACCAAACCAAAGATGAATTTGTTGCTCCCACTCTTGAGGAACTTTATAGTCTCGTGGCTGGGGCTGATATCAAGGTGCTTTCTATATCACCAAAAAATGTCCTATTTTGAGAACTATAGTTGTTTTGTTCAATTATAAAGGAAAGGAAAATTTCTATATCTTTTGTGACAAGTATTAAGTTAGTTTCCTGTGACACTTAGGGTATAGAGGCCGCTTTTGAGAAAGCTGTGCAACTTGAAGATGGTGAAATGGCTGCAGGGTAAGGATTCAGCATCAAGGATAAGTCTATTATAACACAATTACCTTTTCTTGGTTTGTAACTGAGGCATTTTTATTTGCATATGGTAATAATATTTCAACGATTTGCAACTATAACCAGAGGGACAGATATAGAAAGCATGAACATTGGACTACATGATGCTTTGCTTCTTTTTCGCTCCCTTTGCAAGGTTTGTATATGTATCATTACTGATGTGATGAAATCTGTAGTCAATTGCTCCAATTATGAGCCGAGTTAATACCCAAAATCGTCCTCGACTATAGTGGTTTTTCTCAATTTCGTCCTAAACGACTTTGGTGACCTAATATCGTCCCACACTTTTGTGTTTCGCTCAATTTAGTCCCAGACTTTTGTGTTTTTGCTCAATTTAGTCCCTCATTTGTTATTTTGTCCATTTGGTGTTAAATAAATAGACAATTCAGTAATTTTAATATTGGCATCTCTTTACTCATAGACATGTGAACTGCGAAATCCTTTTTTTTTTTACGAATTACTCCCAGAATTACTCCTAAAACTGCGAATATAAAATTTGATTCGCAGGTCCGGGAGTAATTCTGGGTGTAATTCGTACAAGAAAGAGGAATTTCGCACTTCACAAGTTGAAAGTAAATAAAGATCAATATTGACATTACTGAATTGTCCCTTTATTTAACACCAATTTGACGGAATAACAAATGAAGGACTAAATTGAGCGAAACACAAAAGTCTGGGACGATATTAGGTCACCAAAGTCATTTAGGACGAAATTGAGAAAAACCACTATAGTCGAGGACGATTTTGGGTATTAACTCATTATGAGCCTTTTTCTGAGTATGCTGCATTTGCAGATGGCTATAAAGGACAAGAACAAGAATGATGAACTTACAATTAAAACATGCACTCTGTCACTGGAGCTTTTACAGGTGGGTTTGTACTTATTGCTAAAGGAGTTGTTGAACTGGTAATTTTCTATTAATCAGTATTCAATCTCCTCCAAAACCTTTGGATTAAGAAGTAAGACAATGGGTTGAAATATAAAAGTTTGTTAACTCATTTAAACATGCTCAGCATTGATATTTTGGCAGCCTTTATCCCTATATTTGTTTTTCTTGTTATTATTTTGAGGTATTTTCCTGAACACTAAATTTCCTGATTTATCAAGAAGAAGAGGTTTACAAAAAAAACCATTTTCTTATTACTCTTATTATTTTATTCTTTCAATTTTTGGCTCTAATAGTCCTACAGATGAAATAAATTGCTTTAACTCTTTACCTTTGAAAAAACCAATGCTTTATGTTTTAAGAATGAAAATTTTATACTCTTTTCCCATTCTCTTCCCAAATTTATTTTTGAACTGTTTTATTTTTTCATCTCCTTTGTAAAATTCTTTTCAATACATTGAATAGATACTTTATCTTTTGATGTACTAGATAAAGCAAAAAGTGTTGACAAGCAGGCCAGACTGGCCCGACCGTTGAACATTCAATTTATGTATAATTCAAATTGTGTAATTTGAAGGGTCTTCTGGAAGATGTTAGTGATCCATTCAAACATTTTATTGAATCTGTCAAAGCCCATATCTCCTATACATTGTTGCAAGCCTCGGTGTCACAGACTTCTGGCATATTTCAGGTCCAGTTTTATCATAGCTCATATTTTTATTTTTATTCTTTTCCATAATGTCCTGCTGTTATGTCTCCGCAATAAATTTCATGTTTTGACAGTGTGCAACAGGAATTTTCTCTGTACTTTTGCTACGGTTCAGGAAAATCCTTAAGGTATAATTGAATTTCAATAATGCTTACTTCGTTCTATTTTGCAAGAATTTTTATTATTAGGGTCCATGAGTGTCTTTATTTTTTTATTTTCCAGGGTGAAATTGGGGTTTTATTTCCCTTGATTGTTTTGCGCCCATTGGGTGGACAAGACCTTAACTTAAGAACAGCTGTTCTCAGGTATCTAATTTATGTCTAAGTTTTTAACATTTTTCAATGAGTTCCCAAAGTTTGATCCCAACATTGGGAAATGGGGAATGCAAGAAGAGATTTATTAAGGTAGTAAATCATTTACACTCAGTACATCTTGTATTATTCCATATAATGTCCCTCATTTTTTGGGCATATACTGTCTTAGCCATTGAGAGAAGAAAATATGGTGGCAAACTCGGTAGTGTTACTACACAATGAAAAGCTATTCAGATTTAGTGGATCTTATATTGTTCTATGTTGGTATTATTCCCTAAATATCCCTTTGCAGGATGCTGGAAAAAGTTTGCAAGGACTCAAAGATGCTTGTTGACCTATACGTGAACTATGATTGTGAGCTCAAAGCACCTAACTTGTTTGAACACACGGTATTATATTATTTTTGGTCTTTAGAGTTGGTTATGCTACCTTATCACATGTCTAAGCAGCCTTTTTTTTTTTTTTTTTTTTTTTTTTTTTAAATAGGCGACAACTTTATCCAAAATTGCCCAAAATGCAGATTCAAACTCAGTTGCTTCATCTCTAATGGGTTCAACCAAGTTGTCATCCCTTCAGGTGTCTCTCTTGAAGTGCTTAATTTTTCATTTACTGGTGGCTTGGTTACTTCTGATTCTCATGAAAACTTTTTTTTTTCCCCCTTCCTTTTTGACCTTTATAGTGCCTTGTCACTATGTTAAAATCAATTGTTGATTGGGAGAAGTGTCAACGAAAACCATTAAGAGTTAATCAAAGGAAGCATTCTATTGAAGAAGGTTTTGGCGGAATATCTGATGATGTAAGAGGTAGGGAAGATTTACCCTGTGATTTTGATAAGTTGAAGGGCCATAAATCTACTATAGAAGCTGCAGTCTCTGAAGTAAGTGGTGTTTTCATGCAAAATGTGGATATCACCAGTTTCCTCTGGGGTCATTTTTTCTGTACATTTCATTGATTTCCTATTTAGAATCTATGTCAAGGTAGGTCTTTGGACTGGGATAGGATGATCTTGACATTAAATTATGTGACAGTTTAATAGGAAACCCAGTAAGGGGATAGAATATCTGATATCAAGTAGGCTGGTGGAGAGATCGCCTGCTTCAGTTGCTCAATTTCTCAGGAATACTCCTAATTTGGATAAGGTTAAACTGCTCTCTATCTTTCTCTCTCTGTATTTATTATATTGTTACAAAGGGAAAGGTTTCATTGCATTATATTTCAGGCCATGATTGGTGACTACTTGAGTCAGAATGAGGAGTTTCCACTTGCCGTCATGCATTGCTATGTTGACTCAATGAATTTTTCTGGAATGAAGTTTGATATGGCAATTCGGGAATTTCTTAAAGGATTGCGACTTCCTGGGGAAGCTCAAAAGACAGACCGCTTAATGGAAATGTTTGCAGACTGGTATGTTACTGGTTCCTTACCCTCTAAATCTGTCTATTTATTAATTCTTCTACACAAGAAGCTGATTTCTATGTTTGAAAGTAAAATTGATCCCTAAATGCCAAATTTCTTCTTAAGTGTTTGAACATAGTACTATACTCTGTTTATGTTTGTGAAATAACATTCCCAAGTCCCACTATAAATCCTAAATGCTAAAAGAACAGTTCTCTGCAAACCTTTGCCTTCCAAATTCCCAAAGCTTTATCTTAAATGACTCACTTAAAGAAGTTAGTTCAACAAAACCTTCTCCTATAACTCCTCTTATAATCTAAGATTGGGTCAAGGTCACTTAATTGGGCTATAATGCACATGGGCCAAACCACACTAAAAGATTGAATCCAATCAATTACCTAGTCTAACTCATAGCCTTATAAACCCATATGTTCTCTCTTATTTTATCAATGTGGGAATCTTAACAACTCCAAAACAATTTTCTCCATAGCTCACTAGCAGAAGAGCAAAGTGAATAAGTTGTAGATATTCTCTTAATCCACATCTTGCAAAATTTAGGAAAAATCTATTCAATTTTCTGAAACAAGTCAGTTGGGTTAAGTCTTTAACAGTTTTATGGACCTTAAAATAGATTTGAATTTGACCTTTGCTTTTGCAAGGAAGGATGAAATGGCACATTTTATGACCTTTTTTTTTTTTTTTTTTTTTTTTTGGTATGAGGTAGGAAGCTGATAAGTTTTATGAGAAAATGCATGGTTGTTAAACATAGTTGATAGTTGATCTTATTATTCTTTCCTTTGACAGTTACTATGCAGCCAATACTGATCTATTCAAGCATGCAGATACAGCTTATGTTCTAGCATATGCAGTTATAATGTTGAATACTGATGCCCATAGCCCAACAATCTGGCCAAAAATGTCGAAGGATGATTTCATACGCTTGAATACCATGAAAGTGGCTGATGAATGTGCTCCTAAGGAACTCTTGGAGGAAATTTATGATTCTATTGTTATAGAAGAGATCAAAATGCCAGATGCTCACATTTCCCTTGCAGAAAGTAATAAACAAAAGCTGGAACTGGAGGAGAGATGGCGACTGGTCAGTATTCTTAATCTAAGTCTACCAAGAAAGAGTCCTTTGATTGACTCAAAGTCCAAACGTGAGGCCATCAACACACAGACAGAAGCTATTTTTAAAAATCAAGGTGGGATAGAAGGGGTGTTTTATACTTCATACAATATTGAGCTAGCAAGCCCTATGGTTGAAGCTGTAGGATGGCCATTGCTTGCTACTCTTGCAGTTACTATGGAGGAAGGAGAAAATAACTCAATGGTCTCTCTTTGTATGGAAGGATTTAACGCTGGAATTCACATCACCCATGTTCTCAGATTGGACACCATGCGCTGTGCATTCTTGACATCTCTTATCAAGTAATTTCTTTCATTTAACATTTTGGCATGATTGTAATTTTCCTATTACTGTTCCTTTTCATTATTCTCCTTTCCTCAATTCTTATTTTACTGAATGCATATTGATTTTACAGCTTACAAGTTTACTGCATTTTAACTTTAGTTACATGCAAATTTCATGCTGTTTCATTTTCTTGACAATGAGGTGAAACTATGCTTTTGCAATTGTTTAACAGATTTAATTTGTTACATTCACCAAAGGATATGAGAAGTAAAAATGTGGAAGCATTGCAGACTCTACTGGTTTTATGTGATTCAGATCCCAATGCCCTTCAGGATACATGGTATGCAGTGCTTGAGATTGTTTCCAGACTTGAATATGTTGTATCTTCTCCTAGTATGGCTGCAAATCTGATGCAAGGATCTAACCAAGTCTCTCGAGATTCTCTTCTTCAATCACTGAGGGAATTGGCTGAAAAACCTGCTGAGCAAGTGTTCATGAATAGT